GTTCTGTCATCTGCTACCACTGAGAACAGCCTATATCCATCCTCTTTGGAACCCACTTTCAGGTAGTTGAAAGCAGCTATCAAATCCCCCCTCATTCTTCTCTTCTGCAGACTAAACAATCCCAGTTCCTTCAGCCTCTCCTCATAACTCATGTGCTCCAGACCCCTAATCATTTTTGTTGCACTCTGCTGGACTCTTTCCAATTTTTCCACATCCTTTTGTAGTGAGGGGCCCAAACCTGGACACAGTACTCCAGATGAGGCCTCACCAATGTCGAATAGAGGGGAATGATCACGTCCCTCGATCTGGTGGCAATGCCCCTACTTATACAGCCCAGAATGCTGTTAGCCTTCTTGTCAACACTGTTGACTCATATACAGCTTCTCATCCACTGTAACCCCTAGGTCCTTTTCTGCAGAACTGCTGCCTAGCCACTCGGTTCCTAGTCTGTAACAATGAATGGGATTCTTCCATCCTAAATGCAGGACTCTGCACTTGTCCTTGTTGAACCTCATCAGGTTTCTTTTGGCCCAATCCTCTAATTTGTCTAGGACACCTTCATCAGTTGTCTCTTGTCTTATAATTAGATTTCAGCTATTTAGGGCAGAGACTATTTTTTGCTCTGTGTTTGTACAGCACCTAGCACACTGGGGTCCATGGCTATGATTGGGGCTCTTGAGCACTATGATAATACAAATAATAAGAGGATGGATTAATGGAGTGGAGCTCAGAGGGTGGATTGATGGCAATGGGGTCTGAGGGGCAGAGAAGTCTTCAGTTGCTTGAGTATTCACTGGGTATGCAGAGCCAAAAACAATGGATTGCAGAGACTAGATTGGGGAAACATGGTTCAATGAGTTGATATTAGAGGATAAACTGTTGGAGTTAGGGGAGAATGGGAAAGAAATGGAGAGAAAGGAGAAGAATTTAAGTCCCAAGGGCAGAGGTTCCTGCTGACAGATACTGTTGGTACCAACAGTCCTTGGACAAGCCACACAAAGGTCTGGAGTGCTCTGACATGCCACAGCTAATCCCACTCCCTGGCACATTCACACAAAGGCAGATCACAGTCTCTCTCTTGCTGATGATTGAAACTTCTCTCCAGTCTAACAAACAACCTTGACAAACTCTAGCAGTCTCAGAAGGCTCTTCTGTGTTGCAGAGGGACTTCAGAAAAAGGTGTCTTTGCCCAGATCCTGTACTCCGGTGGCACAGAAATTAATCAGAGTCAGTAGTCATGACACTTGCACCAGAAACCCTGGAGGTAAGTGATGTAGGTACCCGAAGTCATGGATGCACACGATCAGTGGTGCTCCCCAGTTTTGTAACTATGAACTCTATTCAACAAATACAATGGAAACACACTACTGAGGAGACTTGTGCACTCTCCAAGGATTAATGCATCTCACCAAGCTTTTGGAGTAACACTCAAAACAACATTGTCAAAACAGGAGTTCAGTCCCCTCCAACGAATCTCAGCAATTCCTTGTAGCATATACCGAGCACTGCTCCTATCCCTGAGAGGTCCCAAAATCTATGAGTTACCAAGATAATTCAGTCACTATGTGGCGGGGCAATGACTCACTGGTGCGAGCCTCCTGCTGGTTGTCCTGGGAATTAGCTCTTTCCAGCCCAGAGCGCTCTCTGCAGGCCGGTGTTTCGCTGGACCCCAGTGCCCTTCTATGTCACAGTTCTGCCCCCACAGTAACCCACTATCTGGGTCTCCCCATCCAGAGGAAACCCCAACGTCCTATCCTCAGCTTGCCTCAGTGGCTACTGCCAGTCATCATCTAGCCCCCGCTCACTGGGGCGGACTGCAGTCTATAAACCACTCATCATCAGCAAGGGGGGTTGGACTAGTTGCCTCTGCCTGTACCTGGGCTGCCCCTCTACAGCCCCAGTACCCTTTGTGGGCCCTTAACTCAGCCTGCAGCCTGGGATTCTGCTAGGCTGGAGCTTCCCAGCTCCCTCTGCCCTTCCCCAGCACTGCTCCACCTCATGTACCTTGCTCAGCTTCCCAGGCAGCCAGGTCCTTCTCTCTCAAAGATGCTAGAGAGAGTGTCTGTCTCAGCATCTGGCCCTCAGCCCTCCTATAGGGCCAGCTGTGGTCTGATTGTGGCATGGCCCCAGGTGTGGCTGCTTCTCCCAATTTACTTAGCTTTCCCCCTCTCCACAGCCCTCTCCCAGGGCTGCTTTAGGCCCTGCAGGGCAGGAGCAGGGTGACCACCATGCTACACACCATTAATCCCCACCCCCTTAATTCATCTGGGAACCATGACTCAGCTTGAACTAAGAATTAGACCTGGAACATATTTAGGGACAACAATAAGATAAGTAGACCTAGGTAATTCAATATATTAAAAATATCATTTTTTTCCAGACCAAATCCAGGAAGGAAATGATGAGTTTACACTGCTTTCTGAAATGCAACCTCACACAAAGGAGTTATATAATCAAAGGCTTTTATCTATCTATCTATCTATAAAACATTGGAGTATCCCAAGTGGAAGATAGTTCAGAGAGTTAACTTTGCTTAGATATCTAACCAAAGTGATGAAAACGCTGTACTGAAAACTGGCACCATACTCTATTGAAGTCACAGACCCTCTTTCCAAATATAGTACATTATTTAGCAGACATTTCATATAACTCCCAACTGAGCTTTTCGGTGGAAGTCTATTTCTATATAGTGTTTTCAGTGTTTGTTTGTACTGGTCCCAGACACATCAGGGGCACCTTGTGCTAGGTAGTAAAGACCGGGAGGATGTTGCTGTGAGTGCCTTAGTTCAAACACTAATTGGTATTAGATCCACCTGAGACACCAAATAATTCAGGATACATTTGGGGACAGGGCTTTTGAAAGGGACATGGTCTGCAATGTTTCATATCGCCAGGGTATGGTGTGTCTTCAGCCTCACACATCCCAGACCTGCTGCTTCTCCAAAAAAAAAGGAGGTTCTTCAGGTCAGGCACACAGAGTAGGCCAATGTTTAATGCAGCCTTGATGATTCTCCTTCTCCTCCCCAATAATTCCCCCATCATTCCCTTGCCCATTTCTCCTTCTTCACCCCTCACTCAACTTCACATTTGTCCCAGACTTTCATTCCCCCAATGCACGCACACTGAGAACTTCCCTACAGTCCAGACAAATTACTGGGCTCCTCTGGAGAAGGGAGAACTGTTTCCTTCCTCCATGGGTTGGCAGATGGAGAAGACCAATAGGTGAGACACAAAGACCAGTGAGCTGAGTGAGGTGGCCATGGGGGCAAAGGAGAGAAGAAAAGCTGATACAGGTGAATGGGCAGCCAGGTAGAACTTTCACATGTGCTGTGACTACATGGCAACTGATGGAGGTTGTACAGTGCCCCTGGGAATATGGCAATTGTTGGCATCCTACTGTGTCTGTATCCAAACTGACCTGGAGAAACAGGTCTGTGACATCTCCACGATTAAATTCTGTGTTCTGTACAGTGTGTGATGATTTACTATGATGTTTAAATGCAAAGTGGCCTCTACAGTTCTCTTTTGTCATAAAAGGCACCAGGCTATACATTTCTAGTGTGTGTATATAATCGTATAATAATTTTTCAGGTTGTGGGAAGGCAAAAGAGATTCCATGACATTCCCCAAGGGTACCAGAGCTGTGAGGCATGAGGCCCCACTGTCCTTAGTACAAGGAAGTCTTGTCTGTGCCTTCCTGTATCCATCAGCCTCTGGGAACATGAGCACAGCCTTCCAAGCCCCCTCACGCTTCACTCTATTTGTAGAGGTAGAGATGGGTGCACATCAACCACTGGAGGGAGTGTTTCCTGCAGTATCTAGTCCCTGATCCACTGAAGGCTCACAGAATTACAAGGCCTACTCTTCCCAAAGGAACAGTATACCCCAGCTTGTAAAATTCAGCTGAAAACCAGCCTTTTGCTTAACACCACAGCACTGAGATATATTTATAGTGAAAACAAGTATACGTTTATTATCAAAGATCAGAAATTCAAAGAATATTAAGTTAAAAATATTGGACACAAAATGGTTACCAAAACATGCTTTCTAGAAACTAAATTTAACTGCCAGGTTATCCTCCAGACTAAAGAAATTTAATCTCACTCAAAGTTCTCTTCAGGATTTTCAAGAAAGCCTGGCTGATAACTATTGTTCATGAGGAAAGGCCGCTGTCCTTTTGCATCCTCAATGAAGGGTGCCTGGGCGTCATCTCTGCCCCACATATAAAATCAAGCAAACCTTTGAAGGGTACCTCCAGATAAGATTCTTCTTCCCTCACTGTTTCTCTCTCTCTCGGTTCCTCTCTCTGAAATTATTCTTGTTCAGTTCAGACTGATGAGAGGAATCTCACTGTGAATAAGACAATACTAAATGTACATGTGAACTGATAGATGAACAAATATCTCTCTGTCTGACAGAAAACCTTTTCACACCTTTGCTGATGACGAGTCCCTACAGACTTTAAGGACATATTTTGAAGTATATATCCATAACTCCTCACATAGTATTTGTACATATATTTCACAATGATTTTGATGATTGAAGTGACACAGACTTTTATTCAAGACTTCACATGACACCCTTTGATGAAGTAGAATGTACAAACCAAACCCATGAGATTCTTGTAGCCTATCTGCACCCTTTTGCCAGTTGGCATTCAGAGGTTAATGGGCCACATAGTTCACCAATGGGAATTATTGCAATGATTTCTGCCATTGGGAGACAACTCATGCCACTGTTCAACAAGATCATATGATTCCTAAATGACCTGGTGAGGGGTTCAAGTTTTATATGGTGTTGATGAGGTGGCAGAGGCAAAAGGTGTCAGGGTGGAACTTGCCCACTTGATCCTCCCTAAATAGATTATAGCAGTGGTTCCCAAACTTGTTCCGCCACTTGTTCAGGGAAAGCCCCTGGAGGGCCGGGCTGGTTTGTTTACCTGCAGCTTCTGCAGGTTCGGCCGATTGTGGCTTCCAGTGGCTGTGGTTCACTGCTCCAGGCCAATGGGAGCTGCTGGAACTGGCGGCCAGTACGTCCCTCGGCCTGAGCCACTTCCAGCAGCTCCCATTGGCCTGGAGCAGCGAACCGCAGCCACTGGGAGTTGGGATCAGCTGAATCTGTGGACGCAGCAGGTAAACAAACCCCACTTGCTAAGTTTTAGCCCAGTGGTTAGAGCAACATTCATTTTCCTTTTCTGCCTGATGGAGAGAAAGGACTTGAAAAGGCCTCTCTTGCTTCTCAGGTGAGAGCTGTAACCACTGTTCTATGGGATATTCTGAAGTAGGGAATCCCTCAATGTCTCCTACTGAAGCTGTCCCTCTGTGGATAAATAATAGTCATCAAAGTCTGGGGTTTAGGTGCCTAAGTACCTTTGTGAATCTTGCCCAGCATCTGACAAATTATTGAGGTTTCCATGTAAAGTGACCTTACTTTCCTTTTGTTCATTAAAACACAACAGGCTATACATGTCTAATTATACATCTATCCCTTTTTCAGGTACTGAGAAGACAGAAAACAATCAATCCATGGGGATTATTACAAAGATTTTTGAACTTGGGAACCAGCCTTTTCAAATGTTGGAGAAGTTCATACGATTCCCATGGGTTAACCAAGGTGAGGGATAGGAGTTTTTATCAGGGGACCAAGGAGGTGGGAGGTACAGAAAAGGTCAGCTAGGGTGAAATGCAATGCTCAATGTTTCTGGCCATCTGAATAGAGGAGGAGAAGAGCAAAGTCCATTCTCAACTCCAGCAACAACATCTGTGTTAGCATGGGAAGTGGGAGCAGAAGGACAGCACATAGAAGTGATGAGGCAGAGGATCTGTTGGGTCTGGGAAGGCAGGCAGGCAGCTGACTGGGATGGGGAGAGGATCAGTTTACTGTGGTTGAACAGAAAGCACAGCTGGAGTGGTGTGGATGTCAGTGAATGGTGGGTAGTGAATGTGTTAGGAATGAAGGCAGAAAGGGGATGTGGGAATTTTAATCTGGCCAGTTGTCAGGGCTGGTCCATGGGCTGCCTGTGTGCACAGCTCAGTTACCAAGTCACAGTTAGGAGGCGAGTGGCAGACTTCCAGTTGAGCTGGGTCAGGAAGCCAGGAAATCATGGTCATGTGCAGCAGACGACCAGATGGTGAGAGAAGCAAGGATGCAGAGCATCTGTTGGCCGGGGAAGGCAGACTGCCAAGTGGCTGCATGGGAAAAGAATCAATTTGTTAGAGGGAGGCAACAGTATGCATGCTCAGGGGCAGAAATATCAGCCCATAGGTGTCTTTTACCCTGAAAATGTAGGCACTGGGTTAAGGCGGCAGCTAATCTGGAGTTTTGTGGCTTACAATAGCACCAAAACTGGGACATAGACACCTAATTCCCTTTGTAGATCTGGTCCTTGAATACTAACAGACTTGTCTATGTCAAGTCTTCATTGTTAGGGTCTATCACCCAGTCAAGGGCCAGTCTCTAGAACAGGAAGCATTAGCCTTACTTAAAGTCACATGGCTTTTGTCACATGGCTTTTAGAGCTGCAATAGTGGGGGCAGAGACACTATGTCAACTTCTGCCTCTACTTCTAAAGATGGATGGCCATAGAATCATAGAACTGGAAGGGCCCTCAGGAGGTCATCTAGTCTAGTCCCCTGCACTCGTGGCAGGACTAAGTATTATTTAGACCATTTCTGACAGGTGTTTGTCTAACTGCTCTTAAACATCTCCAATGATGGAGATTCCATAACCTCCTGAGGCAAATTATTCAAATGCTTAACCACCCTGACAGTTAGGAAGTTTTTTCCTAATGTCCAACCTAAACTTCCCTTGCTGTACTTTAAGCCCATTGCTTTTTGTCCTAGCCAAATAGGTTAAGAAAAACATTTTTTCTTCCTCCTCCTTAAAACAACCTTTTACATAGTTGAAAACTGTTATCATGTTATTCTTCATGCTTCTCCTGAACTCCACCTTTGGAGCACTTCCATGAATCTGAATAAGGAACTCCCACTGGAACTGATACATCTTTCATCCAATCAGGTCCATTAAATGATCTTTTATGAAGATCAGTATTTTTCCCCAACTCAGCAAATAATTTTGGAAAAATCCAGCAGACATAATAAATTTATAACTGACATTGCTGACTGTCAGCTGTCAATTTAGCAAATCCCAAATATCCAGCATTCTAGACAGATTGTACTTTACAGAGGCTGATCACAAGATGTTCTAGTCATGAACTTGGTGAAAGGCTGAAGAAGAAAATTATTGACTATCCTCTAAAATGTCTGATTTAAAATCCATAACAACTTACAATAAAATAAACATTTTTAAATTAATAATAATTACTTTGTCTATTTCTTTTTCTTTTCTAGAGAAGTTCCAGGTGGAGAATGGTAAGTTTGCTGTGATATCCAAGTGGTGAAAGTCCCATTATGAAAACTGGCACCACATTTATCCTGAAGTTACGGTCCTTCACTCAAAAGATAGTCCACTGTTTAGCATTAATTTTGTTTAACATCTACCTGAAGTCTGAAGTGTAAGTCTATTTGTGTTATACTCCTATGGCATTTGTGTCTACATGTCCCAGCAATGTCAGGGACATGTTGTGCTAGGTACTGTAATGTCATTCTGGGTGTTCTTGTTTCTGTTTTATTCCATTTGGGAATGAAGCCCTGTAAAAGGACAGAGAAGGTGCATGACCTTCTTTGCTCAATTCTACCCCAGTTAGGATTAACTTTGGTCTGTCCTTAGGCTGAAGTACCAGACCTTCAGCTTGTCCAAATAACAATTATGCCCTCACCAACATTACCCTTATTCACCCCTACCTCTCTAACTACTCATCACATCCCCATCTGTCCTACGCTTCAATTCCCCCAATGCATGGTCACTTAGAAGTTCCCTGGAGTCAAACAAAATTACTGGTATTCTCTGTAGAAGGGAGGTATCTTTCCTTTCTCCATGGGTTGGCAGATGGAGAAGACCAACTGGTGAGCTGAGTTGAGGTTGCCATAGGAGCAGAGAAGAGAAGAAATGATGTACAGGCAACCAGCTGGTGGCCACATGCACATGTGCTGGGCCTGCTTATTAAATGATGACAGTACCTCTTGGTATATGGAAAATTAGACAGCATCCTATTATGTCTCTGTCTAAAGCAAGCTTATCAAAAGAAACATGTCTGATGAATTTCTGATTCTGACTTACCTCCATTGTCACAGTCCCATATGTTAGAAGGATGTATAGAACCAAAGTCATCTGACATTCCTCTTCCTACTTAGAGGACTCCAGGCTCTACATGTCTATCTAGGGACCCTACAGGCAGGGCCACTGACAGGGTGTTAAAGGGGCTGCTGCCCCAGGGCCCAGCGATTTCAGAGGGCCCAGGGATTCCGACTGGAGCCCTGGACCCTTTTAAATCACTGCCGGAACCCTGGGTGGCACGGGCCATGGAGCACAGATGGGCTGGCTGGGGGAGGCTGACCCCCAGACCCTCCCCTTCTGCCCAAGGCCCCACCCCTTCCGAGGCCCAGAGTTAGGCCCCTGGACTGGTAAGTCATCTGTGTTACTTTCATCCCTGTATACTTCACTCCATTATCCAAGTCATAAAAACTTTTGAATAGTATTGGACCCAGACTGACTCCTGAAGAACCCCACTAGATATAAACTCCTAGTGTGACAGTGAACCATTGATACCTACTTTTTTAGAGCATGGTCTTTCAAGCAGTTTTGTGTTCACATTATAGCAACTTCATCTGGACTGAATTTCCTTAGTTTGGGTATGAGAATGTTATGGAGGACTCTGTTAAAAGCCTTACTAAAGTCAACATCACATCTACAGCTTTCCTCCATCCAGTACACTAGAAACCCTGTCAAAGAAGGAAATTGGTTGGTTTGTGTTCTTAATAAATCCATGTTGGCTGTTATTTACCTCCCTATAATCCTCTAGGTGTTTACAGATTGATTGCTTAATCATTTGTTCCAGTGTCAAAGTTAAGAAGATCAGGCCATCTTTGTTCCCCTTTTTAAGGAGAGTTTCTGTGTTTGCCCTTCTCCAGTCCTCTGGTACCTCATCTGTCTCCCAGGAGATCTGTAAGATAATCACTAAGAACTCTGAGACTGCTTCAGCTAGTTCCTTAAGTACCCTAAGATGAATTTCATCAGGCCCCACTGAATTGAATACATCTAACTTATCTAAATATTCTTTAACCTGTTCTCTCCCTATTCTGGCTCGTGTTCCTTCTCTCTCATTGTTTATATTAATTATGTTAAGTATCTGGTCACAATTAAACTTTTTTAGTAGAGGATGGTTGAAGGCAGAGGATAAATTTAAGTAGTTGAGAGACATTGAAAAAGAAATAGAGGGAGAAGACACGAGAGCTGAGGGAGTGCTAAGGACAGCCAAAGAGAGGTGAATTTTAGGGAAGCTTTGGGATGGAAAACTGCATATAAGGTGGGTGTGAGTATGGGGACACAGAAGAAGTGGGACAGAAAAGGGGAATGGGGTGACTAGAAGATGGGTGAGTAAGCAGGAAAGAGAACAAGGAAAAATAAGTAACAACATGAAAGGGACAAAGAGTGAAGAAAAGGACTAAAAACATATGGGGAAGTTAAGGGCAGAGTTGAAAGTGATGGGAAGTTAGGTAGGAGAGGGAAAACTGTGATGGACACGCATGGATGGAGAGATTTGCAGGTGGAATGGGGAGAAAGAAAGTTATTTGTAGGGAAAACAGGGTGAGGGAAAAGAGAGACAGGAAGGGAAAGAAAAGAGGTTGAGTGAAGAAAAAGGATCTTATTCTGAGTGTCTGGTGGTCCCTTTAGAGTCATCCATCAATTAAAAACTGGTCTACACTTAAATGTGTCTCCCACTGATGTAAGTGCCCCTTTATGCTGACTTAATAACACCACCTCCCCGAGTGGTGCAGAGTCAAGGTCGATGTAAATAGATCAACACCATGCAAGTGTAGACACCGTGTAACTTACGTCAATCATCACTGGCCTCCAGCAGATGTCCAAAAATGCTCCACGCAGACCGCTCCAGTCTCCTCCACTTCTAAAGGTTTATGGTTGTGCCTCATCTTTCCCCTGAACTCCACCTTTGGAGAACTTCCATGAATCAGAATAAGACATTCCCCCTGGAATTCTTACACATTTCATCTAATGAGGTTCAATTAAGTGATCTTTTATAAAGATAAGCATTTCCCCCCCCAACTCAGAAAATAATTCTGGAAAAAAATACAGTAGACACAATAAATCTATAACTGGCATTGCTGACTGTCAACTTTCAATGTAGTAAATCTGAAATATCCAGATGTCTAGACAGATTGTCACTTTCAGAGGCTGATCACAAGATGTTCTGATCCTGAATTTGGTGAAAGGCTAAAGAAGAAAATTATTCACTATCTTCTAAAATTTCTGATTTAAAATTCACAAACATTTAAAAAAAAATCTTATTTTGTCCATTTCTTTTTCCCTTACAACAAAAGTCCTGCTGAACAATGGTAAGTCTGCTTTGATATCAGAATGGTGAAATATCCTTCCTGAACTTACAGTTCAAATGTCCAAATGTAATCCACTATTTAGCATTAATTTTGTTTAACTCCCACCTGAAGTCTGAAACGTAAGTCTATTTGTGTATACACCTATGCTGTTTGTGTCTACATGTCTCACCCAAGTCAGGGGCACATTGTGATAGTACTGTAAAGTTATTCCAGGAGTTCTTGTTTCTGCCTTACTCCATACACTAATGGGCGCTATATCTATCAGAGCTAGCTAAGTAATTCTGGCTGAATTTGGGGACAAAGCCTTGTGAAAAAGGACATGACCTTCCGTGCTCAGTTCTACCTGGGTTATGGTTAGCTTTCATCTGTCTTTAGGCTCAAGTACCAGACCTGCAGCCTTTCCAATTACAAGAGGCTGTTCAGCTCAATCACATAGAGCAGCCTAGTGCTTAATGCAGTCCTGATAGTTCTCCCCTTCCCCTGGTAATTCCCCATGATGCCCTCACCCACATTACTCTAATTCACCCCTATTTCTGTAACCACTCTTCACATCCCCATCTATCCTAGGCTTTCATTCCCCCAGTGCATGCACACTTACAGGGTCTCTGGAGTTAAACCAAATTCTCTGGAGAAGGTAGATCTCTTTCCTTCCTCTATGGGCTGGCAGATGGAGGAGACCAACTGGTGAGCTGAGTGAGATGGCCAGAAGAGAAGAGAAGAAAAGATGAGGGAGGTG